GAGATAATTTACGTATATTTGTAAAAATTTATGTGAGAACATATGATATACACTTACACACTTAAGAATTATCCTGAATGAATATATCACATTCTTAAATTTTTTGTCACTCTTCGGTTTTAGTTTGAAACGATACTATCCGATATTTCAAAAGTAATCAATAATTAAAATTAAATAATATTATATGTACTAATTAATATATTAACGGATGATATGACATAATTTAAGAGGTTTTAAGTCTTTGTAATTTATATAATAGGTGATATCATAGTTTTAAAATAATAATATAATAACTATGTTGATACTCTAATACTAATTATTACATATAATACACTGAATAAAATTTTAAAAAATTAATACAAGAGGGAAGCTTGGGTGGCCTTTCCTATGTACTAAAAAAAAAAGAAAAAAAAAAAAAGTTAGTTTGTGGGGGCCTGTCCTATGGCATTACGTAACAGACGCAGCCGGGTGGCTAGTGGGAGGTGCGAGCTGCAAAATTCAGCCCCATTTAATTGGATCCTCTCCTCTCTCTCTTTTCTTTTATTATTATTAATACCCAGCTTCACTCTCTTGGGTTTTGGAGAAACCATTCATTCATTCATTTATCCACAACTTCCACTATTCAGGTTTTCACTGAATCAAAATGGAAGTTCAAGAACAGAAAGAGCATCCACTCCAAATCCCTCTTCTCTCCCCAGACAAGATGGGAAACTTCCTACTTTCTCATAGGAATACACTAGATATTTTTTTCTTAATTTCAATCCCATTTGATTTTGTTATATATGTTTGCAATTATAAAAGTTTGGTTACTAATGTTATACTTAAACCCACATCGTCAATCTAAACCACCAAGTTTGGTTAATATAATACAAAAGTCTCTCTATTCATTGTCAATTGGTTTGAAGTTGAATGCTTTAGCGAGGTTTTGGGTGGCGTCTTACATTGTATAAACAATCCATCTCTCAATCGGACCTCTCAATATGCTCAATTGATTTTTAATTGAATCACTACAAGAAAATACACAATTGGCGACCACTTTTGCCGACTAAAAATATTTTGGTTGCCAAAAGTTGTGAAATTGGCGACCAAAAATTATGTTTGGTCAGCAAAACCTTAATTTCAGCGACTAAAAATTAGTTTGGTCACGGTATATATAGTTTTGGCAACAAAAATATTTTCGTCGCTGAAAGAAAAATAAAAAATTATTTTTTATCTTTCGCGACCAAAAGCTTGGTCGGCAAAACCTTAATTTCAGCGACTAAAAATTATTTTGGTCGCGGTATATATAGTTTTGGCAACTAAAATATTTTCGTCGCTGAAAGAAATATAAAAAAATATTTTTTATCTTTCGCGACCAAAAGTTTGGTCGACAAAACCTTAATTTCAGCGACTAAAAATTATTTTGGTCGCGGTATATATAGTTTTGGCAACTAAAATATTTTCGTCGCTGAAAGAAAAATAATTTTTTTTTTCTTTCACGACCAAAAGTTTGGTCGGCAAAACCTTCATTTCAGCAACTAAAAATTATTTTGGTCGCGTTATATATAGTTTTGGCAACTAAAATATTTTCGTCGCTGAAAGAAAAATAAAAAATTATTTTTTATCTTTCGCGGCCAAAAGTTTGGTCGGCAAAACCTTCATTTCAGCGACTAAAAATTATTTTGGTCACGGTATATATAGTTTTGGCAACTAAAATATTTTCGTTGCTGAAAGAAAAATAAAAATTTACTTTCACTCATCACTCTTTCTCTCTCTTTCTATGTATCTGTCTCTCTTTTTCTCTCTGTGTCTCTATCTCTATCTCTCTCCTCTTTTTCTCTCTCTCACTCATCACTCTTCTCTATCTGTCTGTCTCTCTCTGTGTCTCTATTTTTGTCTCTGTCTCTCTTCTCTTTCTTTCTCTCACTCATCACTCTTCTCTGTCTCTCTCCCTGTGTCTCTCGCTCATCTCTCTTTTCTCTATTTCTCTCATCTCTCGTCTCTCTTTGTCTCTCTTCTCTTTATCTCTCTCACTCATCTTTCCCTGTATCTCTCTCGTTTATCTTTCTCGCTCTTGTTCTCTCTCTCTCTCTCTCTTTGTCTGTGTCTTTTCACCCATTTTTTCATCTTCCTCTCTCTATTCTATTTCTCTCTCTTACTTATTACTCTTCTCTCTCTGTCTATTTATCTATCTGTCTGTTTATCTCTCTCTCTGTGTCTCTCACTCATCTATCTCCTCTCTCATTTCTCTATCTCTCTCTGTCTCTTTCGTTCATCTCTCTTGTCTCTATCTCTCTTGCTCATCTCTCTTCTCTCGCAATCTCTCATCTCTCTTTTCTCTCGGTCTCTCTCGCTCATCTCTCTTCTCTCTATCTTTCTATCTGTCTCTCTCGTTCATCTCTCTTCTCTCTATGTCTCTCTTGCTCATCTCTCTTATCTTTATCTCTCTCTCTCTGTCTATCTCGTTCATCTCTCCTCTCTCTGTCCCTTTTTCTGACTCTCACTCTCTATCTCTTTCTCTCTTTGTCTCTCTTCTTTTTCTCTCTCACACTCATCACTCTTCTCTATCTGTCTGTCTTTGTCTCTATCTTTGTCTCTTTTTCTCTTTGTCTCTCGCTCATCTCTCTTCTCTCTTCTCTCTATCTCTCTCATCTTTTTTCTTTCTTTATCTCTCTCATTCATCTATCTTCTCTCTCTCTGTCTTTCCTACTCATCTTTCTTCTCTCTCTATCTCTCTCTTTTTCTATGTCTTTCTCTCGATCATCTCTTTTCGCTCTCTTTTTCTCTCTTTGTCTATCTCTTACTCATCTCTTGTTTCTCTTTGTCTCTGTCTCTATCTCTTTCTCTTTCCTACTCTGTCTCTGTCTCTACCTTTGTGTCTGTCTCTCTCTTTCTCTCTCTCTCTCTTTCTATTTCTCTATATCTCTCTTCTCTCTCTGTCTCTTTCGTTCATCTCTCTTCTCTCTATTTGTCTATCTCATCTCTCTTCTTGAGCTCTCTCACATCTCTCTCTCTCATCTCTCTTCTCTCTCTGTCTCTCTCATTCATCTTTTTTCTCTCTATCTCTCTCTTTGTCTCTCTCGTTCATCTCTCTGTCTCTCTCGCTCATATCTTTTCTCTCTATCTCTCTCTGTCTCTCTTGTTCATCTCTCTGTCTCTCTCGTTCATCTCTCATCTCTCTCTGTCTCTTTTTCTGTCTCTCACTCTCTATCTCTTTTTCTCTCTCTCTCTCTTTTTTCTTTCTCTCACTCATCACTCTTGTCTCTGTCTCTGTCTTTTTTTCTCTTTGTCTCTCGCTCATCTCTCTTCTCTCTATCTCTCTCATCTTTTTTCTTTCTCTATCTCTCTCACTCATCTCTCTTCTCTTTATCTCTCTCTCTGTCTCTCTCACTTCTCTCTCTATCTCTCTCTATCTCTCTCTTTTTCTATGTTTTTCTCTCGATCATCTCTTTTCACTTTCTTTCTTTCTCTTTCTTTGTCTATTTGTTACTCATCTTTTGTTTCTCTCTGTCTCTGTCTCTATCTTTTTCTCTCCCTGTCTCTCTCTCTCTATCTCTCTCGCTTTCTCTCTTTATTATTTATTATTATAATTTTACTTTTTATTTATTATCATTTTGGAGGGATTTTTAAATTAATTTGGTGAGGAACTCTAGAGGGATTTCAAACACACTAAAATGAGTTAGGGCTTAAACACGTCTCTCTCTCTCTGCCATCGATTCTCTCACGCCTCTATCTCTCTCATTCCATCACTCTCTCTTTCTCTTCACCCATTTTGTCATCTTCTTCTCTCTCTTCTATTTCTCTCTCTTACTCATCACTCTTCTCTGTCTGTCTTTCTCTCTCTCTCTCCCTGTGTCTCTCACTTATCTATGTCTTTTCTCATATATTTTCTTTCTCTGTCTGTTTCGTTCATCTCGCTTCTCTCTATCTCTCTTGCTCATCTCTCTTCTCTCGCTCTATCTCATCTCTCTTTCTCTCTGTCTCTCTCGCTCATCTCACTTCTCTCTATCTCTATCTCTCTCTCTGTCTCTCTCGTTCATCTCTCTTCTTTCTATGTCTCTCTCGCTCATCTCTCTTCTCTCTATCTCTCTATTTGTCTCTCTCGTTCATCTCTCTTCTCTCTGTCTCTCTCGTTTATCTCTCTTCTCTCTATCTCTCTCTTTGTCTCTCTCATTCATCTCTCCTCTCTCTTTGTTTTTCTATCTCTCTCTCTCTTTGTCTCTCTATCTCTCTCTCTCTCTACTACTACTATTACCTCTTCTCTACCACCGTCACTCTATCTCCTTTACCACTACCACATCTTTACCACTAATCTCCTTCGTCACCACCACCACTACCACCACCACCACCACCACACCATCACCACCACCTCATATCTACCACCTTCACCACTACTGTCGCTTCCTCTCCTCTACCACAAAAAAATTAGTATAAAAAATTAGTTCTTGATTTTTAGTATAAAAAAAAATGGACCACAAAAAAATATTTTTAATTGACCATAAAAAATTAATTTTATTTTAACAAAAAATATTTTTCATTGAAATATTACCCCTACTTCTACCAAATAAAAAAAAATTCATTAAAAAAAAATGAAACAAAATTTCCCCTTTTTTTCACTGACCCGCCCGCCCAAACTTATTTCCCCCATTTTTTCCGTCTTTCCCCCCCTTTTTTCATTTCCTTTCAGGTTTGCAGAGCCCTGTTTCGAAACAACACGTCGCTCTCTCTCTCTCTCTCTCTCTCTCTCACGGAGGCGAGCGACGAGCAGCGCATTTTGGTTCGAGTTATAAGCTCCGAAGCTGCTTCTTCAAAGCTTCTTTACCAATTGCTGGGACCAGAAAATGTGCAGCGTTGGTGTCTGGGTTGTCCTCTGCTACTTCACCAACGATTTCATCGTTCAACGAGGTTCCAATCAGCGCAATCTCTGTTTTTCTTTGTTAAAAAATGGTTTTGATTTTTGGATTTTTGTTTTTTTGTGCGATTCTGATTTCTATCTATGTGGGTTTTCTCTATAGTTGATTAAGTCTTTGATTAATCGAGTTGACTTGTCGGAATCAGAGGCTGAGGCTTCTCTGGATTTTCTTTTGCATGAAGCTAATGAGGCGTTGATCAGTGCCTTTCTTGTTCTATTGAGAGCAAAAGGAGAAACTTATGAAGAAGTATGCTCTCTCTCTCTCTCTATATATATATATACACACACACACACACTTTCTATACTACTATATGAAGCACACAACTCAGCTAGTGTCACTCATTTTCTGATATACCCAAATTGCTTGTATGTAACTGTTCAAGTTTCTTATTTAAATTTCAATATTTTCAATTTTTTTCTGCATATACATGTATAAGTAGTCTCACATTGTGTTTGTATGCTTGGACTTCAATTGGGTATTGGGTAGATAGTGGGATTGGCAAGGGCAATGATCAAGCATTGTAAAAGGGTGGAAGAATTGGATGAAGATGGGGTTGACATTGTTGGGACGGGAGGTGACGGTGCAAACATCGTGAACATTTGAACTGGTGCTTCAATTCTTGCTGCTGCTTGTGGTGCAAAAATTGCAAAAGTGAGATTGTTTTTGAATTGATTTGTTGTGTAAATTTTCAATACTTGTACGTGTTTGGAAATATAAAAGCTCATTGAGGGTTTGCATTGCAGCAAGGTAATCGATCAAGTTCTTCAGCTTGTGGAAGTGCCGATGTGTTAGAAGCCTTGGGGGTTGTAATTGACCTGGACCCAGAGGTTTGTGTTATAAGTAATGCTATACAAAATAACAACTTGTACAAATTTTTTTTTTTACTCATTGGTTGTCCTATTTCATATTTGAAAATTGTATTCCTGCATGCCACATTCGTGATTAAGAAAAGTTTGTAACTTCGGTTACAAATTAACATCTTTTACGAAAAATTTTTTTTACTCATTGATTGTCCTATTTTAGATTTGAAAGTTGTATTGCTGCAGGCCACATTTGTGATTAAGAAAAGTTTGTAAATTTTGTTATTTTGCATAGCATTTTCCCCGTGTAATTTATGAAATTAGGCCTTGTCTGGGTTCCGTTGTAGCATTCTCTAGCATCCTGAATTATGAAAGCAATACTAAATTCACTAAAACTGAATTGCAATTAGGCAAACATATGATTTCAAAAATATTTTTTTGGTCAATTAAAATATTTGTGGTATGCCATTCCAACCTCTTTTTTGGTCAATTAACTTTTTGAAAATATGCCATTCCAACCTCTTTTTTGGCTTCAAGCCTGTTGTTTTTTTTGTTGTTTGCAATAAATAGGCATTAGCATGACCCTTGAATTAATTGTGTAAGATTGATTAGTTTATATATATATATATATATATCTTTTTTGCTTATTTTAATTATGGGTGAATGTGGACTATTGACACTGTTGATTTGTTGGGGACAAACATGCCTAACTATAATTGGTGGGTGGTGTTGATCTGGAGTTTTGGTGCAATGAGGAGCCAAAGATTAGCTCATTCAACAGTGATTTTGATATGCCCCATAAACAGCTGTAAGTACTGAATTGGTGTTTTCAAATCTTTTTGAATAATTTATAGCTGTAAGTTCTCAACACTAAAGAATGCATATAGCTTTGAGGTTACACCTTTTTTTGTTTTTGAAAAGTTTTGATAGAATTTAGATTTTATATCTTTTGCCTTGCATAATAAATATGGTCATGGAGCTACTCGAGATTTTCTATAGATGCTATTTGGATTGAGTAGTTTTGATTTGAGCTTAGAAATCAAGTCTGATGCTGAAATTATTGAGGATATGGATCTTGGTGAAACCATTGTTGGATTTTATGACCGAAGTACATGGACTTGAAATAACAGGTGAGTGACCTAGGCCTAGATCATAACGGTCACCCAGGCCTAGATTAAACAAACTTGTGAGAGCAAACGGCGCATCGATAGGATATACGGTTAGAGATATAGACAAAAAAAAATGTGAGAGAAAAAGGAAAAAAACGAGCCGTATGGGGGCAAAAATTGGAAATAGCACCCAAACAGCCCCGAGATCATCACAGTCACATCGGCCTAGATTAAACACACTTGTGAGAGCAACAAAACATCACTTTTTCCACAATTCTTGAAATAGCAACAAAAACTAACATTTCTGTAAAGAACAATAAAAAAAAGCCTTATTTGAGTAAAGACCACAAATGAAAAAGTCTGGGGATGTGGTTGGTATTAAAACTAGATGACAAATATTGGAAATGATGATATTGATAGAATTGTAGTGTTGATTAGATATATACATATGAATGTTGTTTTATTTATAAAATGGTATTGATAGTCATTTAATTTGTTCATATTACCTTTAATTTGTTCAATCTTTTAGATTTGTTTCTGTTTTTTAGTTCTTGTTAGTGGTATATATATATATATATATGTCATGTAGATATGTTTTTATCTATTTATATCTATCTATTGCAGATTGAATATATATAATATATATATTGTTGGAGAGCTTGATTCAGTAGCGATTTGTGATTTGTTTCTTTTAGATTGAATATATATATTTGAAGTGTTTTAAAAAACTTGTGTTTGGTGTTATTGTTGTATCTAAACTATGTATTGTTGGGCTGCTTGTGTAGGTTTATTTATAAGATTGGAAGTTTTAATTAATGATGGTTCTTGGATTGCAGTTGATTATATATTTCATTCTTGTTTTTTGGGCTTTTAAATTTCTCTCTCTGAGTTATGACTCAAAGGACAACAAAACAGGGTCTACAAAGTTAGAAACTTGTGACACTTTATTTAGGATTAATTACACTTTCCATTCCTATAATTTGATCAGAATTTTACTTTAGTTCCTATGGTTTTAATTTGAACAATTTGATCTTTACATTTTAAGTTTAGTTTTAATTTAGTTCTTTTGTCTAATTTTTTATTAATTTTGTTTACATGTACATCTTAAAAAATTAAGAAATATTTCAAAATTATTAATTTTAGTATTCTATTTAGACAGAAGTACTAAATTAAAATTGTACTTAAATTGTAGTGGCTAAATTGTTCAACTTGAAACTATAAAATAAATTTTAAATCAAAATAAAAGGATGGAAAGTGTAATTAACTCCTTTATTTATTATTTTTTTTGAAGTTGTTTATTTCTGTGTTTAATTATTTATGGGACAATTGCAAAAAAACAAACAAAAAAAATAGATGGTCTCCGGTCCAAGCATGTTTGTTGGAGTGAGGTTGTCTCTCTGCGTGGTTTCATTAGTGACTATCGGAGGGTCTTCCGTTACGCCCGCCATGGATGTGTTTGAGTATTCCCACAAACGGCGCCAATTGTGGAGAAGTGGTTTGGAAATACTCTTCTGATCCTGGGAGACGCTCGTTGTCCTCAGATAGACACCTGAAAAGAAATGAACACTCCGGTCGGGGGTGCCGGAATTAGCACTCCGACAGACAAGTCAGTCTCTACTCTCTCTGGGTTACTTGTATTTTAGGTTAAGCATACTAGTTCTCACATACCTTTCTTCGACTGCCGTTCCTTTATTTATACTCGTTTCCAGGGCCTCGGGGCCTAGTCCACTTTTCGCTCATTGTCCGCTTATTTATTCGGCCCCGTAGTTCAATAGTTACTCGGCCTATTTATTGTATTCGGCCTCCTGATCGTGCAGGTTAGAGCCGAGTAATGTCTATCTTCTAGAGCGTACGTTTCTAATTCTGCTACTTATTCAGCTCCCACAATATGCTTGGTTTGGAACATGTTAAAATTTATAATTTTACAAATTTATTATATGTCATGTATATAAATAATTTATATCATGGTAACATAACACTAATTACCATGGTTTGTTAGCATATCACAATTCACGAATTGATTCATATAATTCAATACAAGTTTGAAGCAAAACGATTCGATTCACATGCAAAAGCACACACAAGCACAGACTAAGCCATGCCTAATTGCTAAATGATACCTGGTCTCCACAACACAACATAACCCAAATGGTTTCAATATCGCCAATTTAATTCTAACATATCTCAAACTGTCCCTAGGTGCCCTAAGTTTCTCAAATTCACGCTGAACTGATTTAAGCCACAATCACTAATATTTTTGTCAGAGTGGAGTTAAATTTATGTTCATCTGAACGCGTGATCACAACAAGAACACCAATATTTACAGCATAAGAAGGTACAGAACTATAAGGCCAATTCGGACTAGTAGCGTACACTAAGGTCATATATACATATATAGAGAGAGAGAGAGAGAAGGACTTACACGCCTGAGCGCCATGAGAGGACCTTGTTCTTGTAGCAAGCAATCTCGAATCGAACTCCGTGCTTCTTCAGGCGAACCACTGCGACGTTCGTCAATCGCTTCTGACCAACCGGCTGCACCAGAGTCTTCGACATCTCTCTCTACTCTATCTGTCTCTCTTTGAGTATGTCCTCTCTCTCTCTCTCTCTCTCTCTAAAACGAAAGCGATGAACGAAGACGATGTATCACACTTCGCAACCGCACCCTTATTAACCCGCTTCCTTCATCATGGCTGAACCTAAACTACGGGTCGCATCATATTTATATTTTCAACCTAGCTCCATTCAAATTTTTTATTAAATTAATTTATCAATTTATTATAATATATTAAATATATATTTATATTATAATTTAAATTTTATTTTTGTTGATTTTATTGAAATTCATATTTATGGTGATTTGTGATTGAATTTATTTAACAAATCTTTAAATTTATACATAAAAAATTTTAATTCATAACGATATTAATATATTTATTTAAGAAATATAATATGTGGTTGAATTTAATTATGAAATGTTTAAATTTTTTTAACATATAACACAATGAATTAGTTTAAGATTTATAATTATTTTTTGAATCCCTTGGTCTCTAACTCCGACGTGATGCAACCAATTGCCCAAGTTTCCATTGGCCATATATTCATATACCAGAGCTTTGAATTCATTACCATGGAAATCCACACTAGAGCAAACACTCAAAATTTTCAATAGATTTCGGTGCCTTATGGCTCTTAGTGCCTTGCATTCTGATATGAAAAAAAAACTGACGCAAACATAAGAGTGAAAAAATAACATTCTATTTTCCATTTTTTTAATAGTGAACTACAACAATTTTTTAGATAAATATTTTTTTTTCTTGTAGTTGTTCAAACTCCATAAAATTTTAGACTAAATTCATTTTATATAACTTCATAATATATTATATAGATTAAATCATCAGATAACATATGTAACTCAATTGATCTTTTTTATTTTTTAACTGTCCTAATAGAATAATTATAAAGATATTACATTCTTAGTAAAAATCTTGATATTTCAACATGCATGTTTTTAGTGTATGTAGCATTGCTTACCCTAATATAATTATTAAATACATAAATGAAAATTATTATTATTTTCGGAAAAACATAGAATAATTTTTGGTAAATTATGGGTTCGTTTGGCAAGCAAGATTGGGCTAAAATAGCCACAAAAGACAAAATAGGCTATTTTAGCCACAACAAACAAAACATCACATCCAACCCATAATCATTACACTCTTCTCTCACAAAAAAAGTCGAAAAAGCCAAAAAGCCAAAAAGTTCTTCCCAAACCAAGCTTTTTAGCCCAGGCTAAAATAGCCAAAAAAGCCAAAAAGCCAAAAAGTCAACCCACTTCCCAAACGGAGGCTATATCAACCTCCCTTGAGGTTTGAGGAAAACAGGAAAACATAATTAACCTTACACTTTTGACATTATTACATTGATGTCCTTTTTAGGCTTCATTTGGGGAGTAATCATTTTAGTTAAAAATTCAAAAAGTTACTACAAGTTGTCATATCACTCTCTTTATTTTTCTGCATATATTTTCATAAAAAATTAAAAATTTACTAAAATAACATATTTCCAAATGAGGCCTTAGTATAGCTAAAACAATTGAAACTCATGCAGATAGTTGATAAATACTAAAATAAATAAAAACAAATATATATTCAAATTAAAAACATATGATAATATTATTTTTTATTTATACGATTAACTAATTATTTATGAAAAATAATTTAATTATTAGGTGAATTAAAACTTTATGGGAAGCCAATGTAATTAAACTCTTAGTTGTTATGTGAATTACACTCACCTCTCTTGATATTTAAAAAAAAAAAATTATAACTAATTAAATACTTTTGAGATAATTAGACTTACTTTCCTTAAAATTTTAATTCACATAATAATTAAGTTAATTTTCATTAATAATTTGTTAGTAGGGGAATTTATTATAAAATCTTCTTTCAAGTTGTATCCCAATTAGTTCATAAGATATTTTTATATTCCAATAATTCCAATTATCCTAGACATTTGATGATCCAAATCATAATTATCATATTTAAGGTATTTTATGAACAATCTTACCCTTAGAAATATTTTAAAACCCTTGGTAAATTTGTGATATGAACATTCACATTAAATAAATTTGATAGTGCGGATGTTTATATCATGAAACATTCAAACTGTCAATGTGAACACTAATCTCGCTTATGTTACCTATAGAATTTATTGGAACATAATAAAATAATTTAAATTAAAGTAAGAGGGCTATTGTTAGCACTTGTTTTAATTCTTTAGACTCTTCATTTTTTTTTGGGCCTCCGCTCTAAACTCTAAATTTCAATAAGATATTTTTGAACATTCCACTTAGGGGTTGTTTGTGGTGTCCTAAATAAGTGTACTTTTTATCTTTTTTGACTAAAAAATTGAGGAAAAAAATATAGATATTTGGGTTAACTTTTTGACTTTTTATAAAAAACTGTGTATTAAAAAATTGTATAAATAAATGTATAGGAGAATATAGGGTAGGAGGCCGTACGGAAAATAACATATTCCCAAATGAGGCCTTAGTATAGCTAAAACAATTGAAACTCATGCATATAGTTGATAAATACTAAAATAAATAAAGACAAATATATATTCAAATTAAAACATATGATAATATTATTTTTTATTTATACGATTAACTAATTATTTATGAAAAATAATTTAATTATTAGGTGAATTAAAACTTTATGGGAAGCTAATGTAATTAAACTCTTAGTTGTTATGTGAATTACACTCACCTCTCTTGATATTTTTTTAAAAAAAATTATAACTAATTAAATACTTTTGGCATAATTAGACTTACTTTCCTTAAAATTTTAATTCACATAATAATTAAGTTAATTTTCATTAATAATTTGTTAGTAGGGGAATTTATTATAAAATCTTCTTTCAAGTTGTATCTCAATTAGTTCATAAGATATTTTTATATTCCAATAATTCCAATTATCCTAGACATTTGATGATCCAAATCATAATTATCATATTTAAGGTATTTTATGAACAATCTTACCCTTAGAAATATTTTTAAACCCTTGGTAACTTTGTGATATGAACATTCACATTAAATAAATTTGATAGTGCGGATGTTTAAATCATGAAACATTCAAACTGTCAATGTGAACACTAATCTCGCTTATGTCACCTATAGAACTTATTGGAACATAATAAAATAATTTAAATTAAAGTAAGAGGGCTGATGTTAGCACTTGCTTAAATTCTTTAGACTCTTTATTTTTTTGGGCCTCCGCTCTAAACTCTAAATTTCAATAAGATTTTTTTGAACATTCCACTTAGGGGTTGTTTGGGGTATCCTAAATAAGTATACTTTTTGTCTTTTTGGACTAAAAAGTTGAGGAAAAAAAATATAAATATTTGGGTTAACTTTTTGACTTTTTATGAAAAAATGTGTATTAAAAAATTGTATAAATAAATGTATAGGAGAATATAGGGTAGGAGGCCGTACAGATTGGCAAAGGAGCCCGTTGGGTGAGTAGATGAGGAAATATTGTCTCTTTCTCGGGCTTTGATTTGATGGTATTGTTTGGCCCGTGGGGGCCCACCACGGGTCCCATTTTTCTAATCAGAACCGTTAATGTGTAGAACTCATCGAGTACGATATCCTCTAAAAAAATCACGTTGATTGGATATCGATAGCTATCTGATCATGTTAGTTTTTTTTTTTGTTAACTATTAACTATAACATTATCAATTTTTATACAAAACTAGTTTGATCATGTAGTTAGCGATATCCGATAGACATAATTTTTTACAAGCATATAGTACTAGACGAGTTCTACATATTTAACGGTTCAGATTATCAAAACAAGACCCATGGTGAGCCTCCATGGGCCCAACTCTACTATTAAGATTTAGTGAATATTCTACTTTAAATTTTTTTTTCTCTGTCACTAACTGAACTCATTACGTCAGTACCATCATTTGGGCCAACTTTTTGATTTGTATTAATATTTGTATATTAATTTTTAAATATTTGTTTTGTGAATAGTGATAATTTTTGAATTTTTTGTGTAACTTTTTGATTTTTTCTAAGGTTGCCAAACTAGCCCTTAATATCAAATTTACCATATTCATAAAATTATTATACCCAATGGTACACCCATTTAATTTTACACACCCTCTCTCCTTTTCATTTTGATGACCGTTCATTTCATATTGAAAAGAACACTGACGATCATTGCATCAATAAACATCATTGCGTCAGTAAAGAACATTGCATCGATGATTTATCATTGAAATTTCTATCAACTCTCAATGAAACGAGGAATCAACTTGACGATGTCCAAAAAATACTGTCGGAAAACTCGTCGAATGTGTCTACCATTGCAGAAAACTCATTGGGAATTCCTCTCAGGTAAAATCTTCATGAAACATACAATTTGTTGTTGAAGATACAAAAATCAAACTATTTGGCACACCAGTACCGACTATCTACATTACTGTTCGGAACTCATATATTGAACTAAATGTTTGTGTTCAGTTCTGTGTTACTGAACATAATTTTGACAGTCGGCAAACCAGTACCGAACAGTTTGAACAAATCAACAACAATTGAAAACAACCAAGAATATTAATGCAATACAGGTAAACTTACTAATGGAATGCTAGACTCATCAAAATTGTTTTCATCATCCTTTATTATTCTACAAGGTAAAATAACTGATGAAGAGTAAAACATTGGACTTGAAAAGAGCTTTTTGATTCAAGGTTTCTGATTTATGAGGGTTTATGATGGTAATGAAGATGATACATTCAAAGTTTAAGATGGTTATGAAGAGTAACAGATTTATAGTTTATGTTAGTTGGTTATGAAGAGTAATGGGTTTAGGATTTAAAAAGGTGGAATACATATAATTGGAGGTGGAGGTGGAGGTGGGGGTGGCGGTACAATATTGTAGAGTGTTAGTTCTTACTTATAGGCAAGTGTTCCATTAAATGATGTATGTTAATGTAATTTTACTTCAGGATATAATTGTAATAACAAAAAGAAAGAAATTGGGAGTTCTAAAGAATTTAGACAAGTGCTAATAACATCCCTCCTGAGTAAAAAATAAGTAGACGAAGAGAAATTCATGAATAAATGCTAGTAATATAAATATATAAAAAAATGATAATAAGATGATATTGTCATATCTTTTAAATTAATATGTACATTTATTTCTTTTTCTTTTATTGTCTAATCATTATTTGCATTAATTTTAGTCACTTTGATCTTTACTAAAAGAAAAATTAAGGTAATTATATTAACAATGTGAGGTTCATTATTATTTTTTATTTATGATAAGTGTAATTTCCCTATTTATTAATATCTATTTTACTCATAATTTTAGGGCTTTGAAAAAAAAAATAAAAATAAAGATAAAAATAAGGTGTATTTTAAAAGCTAAAGGCTTGAACGCAGCAAACTAGGGAACCTAGCGGTGCAAGCAAATCATCTGTTTTGAGTTCTTTCTCCGCTGGTTTCTTTCTTCGCAACTCGATTAAACAATGCGTCCTTCGAACCCCGATTTCGAAGCCCAAGTTTCTGAAGAAGAGAAATCCACTAATAGCAACAAACATTCGACTTTCTTCGATGTCTACGGCCCACAAGTACTCTTTCTCTCACTCTCATGTGATTTATACTTTTCTACTGTTACAATGGTTCTTCGACGAGTTTAAAATCGATTTTTCTTTCCCCCCACCTTGAAATTAGTGAAGTTAGGTTGATAAGTGTGAAAAAAGCTAACTGGATGGATTTTTTTTTTTATTTTGACTCGATATTTAATTATCTCTGTTGCTAATTATGTGTTTATGTTAGAAATAATGCTCTGTTTGGTTGCTTGGAAACTGGAAGAAAAAGAAATGATACAAAGAATAAATACAGTGATTAATTGTCCTATCATTCATCTTAGACCAGATTTTTATTTATTTATTTTTTTGGACCATAAAGGAGAGAAGAAAAACTTTATTTTCATTAATTTGTTTACAGTTTTCTGAGCAATTAAATAGAGCCTAAAGTGAATTTCTTATTTTTCCTTCATTTTTTTATTTTATTTTTATTCTTCTTAAGTTAGTGTTGGTTGTAAGGAAATAATTATACAGATTTTGTATACCCATTGAAATATCTTATTTGAAAATGTTGGCCACAAAACATAAAAGAGCCTGCTTGGTAAGATCCTTAATTTCTGAAGTGGAGTTGATTGTTGAATTGGTGCTCATTCAGCCTCGCGTGAGGTTTCTCAGGTGCCCTTTGGAGTTTTCTTAATTTATTTACCATTGGGAGGAGCCAAGTATACTTGGTGTAATAATTAAGATAATCCATTCCTTTTCGCATTGATTGATTCTCCATCTCGTTGAGTTGGGAATACTATTTGTCAAATGTGGTGTAGGTTACTCTTCCTAGATGTATTGCGGGTTAAATAAAACACACTCCATTTAGATTTGAGAGCATGTTGCTTGAAGAAATGAACTTCCTTGATTAAGTGGGCGAGTGGTGGTGGAGCTATAGGGTAAAGAGAACTCCAAGCTTTGTTATAGCCAGGAAGAAGAAACTTCTAAAAGAAGACTTGAGAAGACGGATCCAGCAAGAGTTGGGCAGCTTTGCTTATCAGAAGACTAAAGTATTAGGGGCCATCTCTTGCCTTGATGATGTGAAGGATGAACAGAGGATTTTGTCATTGAAGGAAGCTATGTTGTTGAGATAGAAGGCCATGGCTAAATCAGGGAGAATTGCTTTGATGGAGGATATCAGGTGGAGACAAAGAGCAAGGTCCCTATGGCCTATGAAGCACGGACACAGATACATACATGGACACGGGACACAATGGCCTTGTTTGGTTTGGTTTTGAGGAATAAATTTTGGAATTTTTTTTTTTTAAAATTTTGTTTGGTTTAATGATTTTGAATTTTTTTTTTCCAAAATAACTTTCTATCTCCTACACATCAATCAATCATTTTTTCTCTCTCTTCTCTCATTCTTAATCCCTTTTTCTCTCACACACATCTACTCAATTACAACAAAATATCAAATCATTCCAAACTTCCATACTCCAAAACTATTTCCAAAATATATAACCAAACAAACCAAAAAAATATCTAAACTCTTTCTCCAAATTTTTTTTTGAAAATTTATCTCCCAAAACCAAACCAAACAAGGCCAGTGATTTCAAAAAAATCAGGACATGGATGCAATGGGTATACGATTTATTTATTTATATTTTATGTGCTTTTTTTTTTTTTGCTATGTATATAATTATTACATTTATAACCAAAATTAATGAAAACTAATACTAATTTAGTTTAGAAAACTCTTTAAATTTAAATTAGTCAAAGACTAGATATGTATTGCTTTAGGGCTATAGAGATCGTTAGAAGTCAACACTTCACAACTCTGGTTAGAATTGTGTTTGCATTGTTGAGACTGTGGTGGAGTTCTTGCTAGTCCGTTATGAGGTGACAAGATTCAAATTTGCAAGGAAAAGGATGGTTTGGAGAGTTAATGGGGGAAGATTCTCTATCAAATAATTTCACAATCTTCTTCAAGGAGATTCTCAAGCCACTTTTCGTTAGAGAAGCATTTGGATATTAGGGTTCCCATGAAAGTTTCCTATATATATATATATACTTTTGTGTTTTGGATTGTTGCTTTGGATGCCATCTTGACCATTAGCAATTTGGGAAAGAGGGGGAAGATGCTTCCAAATTGGTGTCAGAGGAGTCAAAGGCTGAGGAATCAGTTAATCATCTTCTTTTGTATTTTGAGGTGGCAGGGGAGCTTTGAAGTTTTCTTTTCTCATTTTGTTTTTTGAGTGAATTGGGGGAATTGGGTGATGTCAGGTATTCTAGTTCATTTTTATGAGAGTTGGGTTGGGGTTGCTCAAAAAAGATTTAGAAGGCTTGGAAGGTGGCTCCATTATGTGTTATATGGACTATTTGGAGGGATAAGAAAAGAAAGTTTTGAAGAAGCTGATTTGGGGATGCATAGGCTCAAGTTGACTCTTTTATGTAGCTTTTATTTTTGGCTTGAAGATTTTGTTTGTTTGTTTGTTTTTTTTTTTCTCAATCATTATTTGCTTTTATTGACTTTTTTTAGGAAATCTCTCTTTTGTAGATGTTTGATAGCTAAATTTTGATCATTTTTGTATGCTCCCAGTGCATATAGGTTGAGCCCCATTGGCCACTTTTAGTGAAATCTTTACCTTTTCAAAAAAAGCCAATCAACTGGTGCCTTAGTTTGGCAATAGATGCATGCTTTTATAATATTGACTAATTAATGGCAAATGAATAGGGTAAACTATCAATAGATCATAATAGTTGGACTTAATTCCCATAAAGTCCTATTGAAATTAAGTCCTAGTGAAATTGTTGCTAGAAATAATTTTTTGTGACGATTTTTAGTACATGTTAAAAATTGACAATCAGTGACTTTTTTTTGTCTCGGTTTTTATAAATTGTCACTAAAACTTACAATTAGTGACATTTTTCTGTGACGAATTTTTCAAACTGTCACTGAAGTTGAAAATTAGTGATGGTTTTTAAAATTGTTGCTAAAACTTATAAATAGTGACATTTTTTGTGACAAAATTTAAAATTATTGTTGAAAATTAACAATTTGTGACTTTTTTAATAGTGTATGTCATGCAGGGGAAAGCAGATGTTACTTTTAAGACACCTGAACCCGGCTCAACTTTGAATTTGCAAGTAAGTTTCTGCAACTTTCCGAATATCTGAAAATTTCAGTTGCTGTGAGAATTAGAATTTCTGATGCAATTGCATGATGGAGCAGGATGTTCAAGGACTTGTCACATGGGTGCTAGCTGAAGGATTCATGCCTTCATGGGTTTTTATCAAAGTAATGAACACAGTTTTCTTTTACCTCATGTTATTTGTTGTTGTGAATAGCATATATTTGGGTTTCTTGTCATGAACGATGTAGTAACCATTGTGTGGTTACTTGAGGTATATCCACTTTGGAAGCCCAAAACTAAGTCTATTGGCTCCACATCACTCAAAAAGAGAGCATCCATGGTAGTGAGTTCTTTTTGTTTTGTTTTGTTTTGTTTTTTTTTTTTGGTTTTTGTTTTTGTTTTTGTTTTTGTTTTTGTTTTTTTTTTTTTTTTTTTTTTTTTTAGTAGGGGTTGGCCTAGTGGCAAGGCCCTGGGTCTTGGGGGTGTGCTCCCACCAAGGTTCATGGATCGAAAACCCTTTAGGTGCTAACAATTCTTCGGGCCATCAAATTGGGAGAAAACCCTTGAATTAACCGTGGTGCACTTGCGGGAAACTCTTTGTCGAGAGCTTGTGCACCCCTAGGGATTAGTCGGGCTTTGATCTGGACACCCTAGTGCCAATAAATAAAAAAAAAACACCGAATATGGACGTATTATGTGGCATTTACACTAAGGGCTGGTTTGGGGTGTTCTAAAAAAGTGCACTTTTTGTCTTTTTGGACTAAAAAAGACAAAAAAAAAAATATGGAGGTTTGGGTTAACTTTTTGACTTTTTATGAAAAAAATGTGTATTAAAAAATTGTATAAAAAAAATGTGTAAGAAATGATTAGAGAGGGGTGGGCCCCAGCCGTACAACCGGCTGGAGTGTATTGGAGTTGGAAATTATTGGCTAATTTTTGTACAAAGCATTGGACTGTTTTGTTTGGCCCGTGGGGGTCATCACGGGTCCCATTTTAATAATCTGAACCGTTCAATCTGTGTAACTCGTCGAACACTATGTACCTATAAAAAATCACGTTAATCGGATATCGATAGCTATCTGATCAGATTTATTTATTTTTCAATCATTTATTATAACACCATCCATTTGTTGTATATAACTGATTTGATCATATAGTTATCGATATCCGATCAATGTAATTTTTTGTAGACATATAGTACTCAACGATTTCTACACATTGAATTCAAGCACAGAATATGGAAATATGGATAACCCCAAGGGGTTGGCCTAATGGCAAGGCCCTGGGTCTTGGGGGTGTGCTCCCACCAAGGTTCATGGATCGAAAACCCTTTAGGTGCTAACAATTCTTCGGGCCATCAAATTGGGAGAAAACCCTTGAATTAACCGTGGTGCACCTGCGGGAAACTCTTTGTCGAGAGCTTGTGCACCCCTAGGGATTAGTCGGGCTTTGATCTGGACACCCTAGTGCCAATAAATAAAAAAAAACACCGAATATGGACGTATTATGTGGCATTTACACTAAGTTAATATGCTGTTGGTATGTTTTTATTTACGTTTGGTGTGTTTTAGGAGTCGAGGGTATTTTGGTATTTTTCAGATTTGTAGGGCATGGATTGTATTTTGGGCCCATGGGTTGTAGTTTGATTGACGGACTACAATATGGGTCATTTGATTTTGTGTTCTCTGTTCTTCATCTTCTACTCCTTTTGCTTCTCTTCACACAAAATTATTCCTAATTTCTGCACCAAAACCGTTACATACCTAACTCAAATCAACCTTAACCCCACCTCGTGGCCTTTAATTCCACATCAAAATCCCCCCTTATAGACATTGTTTTGAGAATTCCAGCACACTGATTAAAGATCCTGTATGCTGCCTCTTTTAAATTGAAGCCAATTACACTTTTTATTTTTATGTTTCAAACCCCAAAATCCTCTATCCTTGCTTCAACCTTTTAAGATCTTAACGGGGGAATCTTCTCTGCCCTAAACTTCAAAACCCATCACAAGCAACCTTAGCCTAAGTTTCCTCAAGGCTTCAAGTTGTGCTGCACCAACCTTAATAGATATATCTGCTGTCCAAAATTTCTGGCATGTTAGAGTTCGAACAACCTATTACCTTGTAATTCACACAATTTTATCCCTTTCCTTTTAGAAAGCTAACAACCTCTGTTCTACTTCCTAAAACCTTAAAACTTTCATAGCCTTTTAGATTCTTTACTCAACAATAAATCAACCAAGGGCTTCCTATTGCTGTCCTGCATCATTTTATTTTAGTGGACCACCGAATATGGATGTATTATGGAATGATTGATGCTTTATACTAAGATTGAACACTATCTGTGTAGAGGGTTAGCATTAGGGCTGTTCGTGGGTCGGATCGGATCGGCTTTCCTATCAACCCACCAACCGATCTGACCATGGTGGGTTGAACATGTTCTCACCCACTATCGACCGATGTGGTGTTCAAACTCGACCGTTCTTAAGATTAGATTCTGCAGTCGGTTTCGGTTGAGTTGCATGGGTCATAGAAAATCATACACAGAAGAACAAGGAAGAATATAATAAATGGGGTTTCAATTGCCGAAGGAGAAGAAGCTATCACTAAAAATAAAAAACAAAAGGGGTTTTCAAGAAATGATCCCAGATGGAGGAAGAAATCATAGAAGAACAAAAAACAAAGAGACTGACCACAAATCAAAGGTTGTTCTACCACTTAAACAATTGTTCATTCATTTTGCAAGTGATTTCAGATTGGATGTTGTTCAACATCAACTCTCTAAGAATAACCCAGTCTAGGTTTTTGCCCTTCTTCGTTGAGTCACCAGATAGGTGCCAAAAATTTAATAATCAAAGTGGGTATTTTTGGGGGAGATAGATCGAAGGAGGTTAGGATTTTGGGGGAGATGGGATGATGAGAGGAGCTAATGAGGGAGAATAGACACTGTGAGAGAGGAGATACAGGAGAGAAGAAAGAGAGATAACTGAATGCATGTGAGAGAAGAGAGAGAAAGAATTGATGCACGAGAGAGAGAGAGAGAAAATGAGAATTGAATGCATTGAAAAGAGAAGAAAGAGAAGAGAGTGGGAATTGAATGCTTTAGAAGAGAGTCAGAAGACAACTATGAGATGTGGACTTCTTTGTCAAGTCATAATGGCTTGTAGATAAGTGTAATCTGGATTGCAAATAAAATAATGACACGTACATCGGTCGGATCGGGTTTGTCGGTTGTAATATTCATTGACCGCTGCCCGTCTGAAAAATTGAGATTTTTTACTTAGACTTCTTGTAGCCGACAGTTCCTTCTCACAAAACCGTCTGTATGTTGATTTTTCGGATCGGATTGGTCAATTTCATCGGGTGATTTGGGTTTTTGTACAACCCTAGTTTGCATGGCACACAAATTTGTGTAACATGCGTACCATTTGTTCTACCATAAATCACCAAATGGGTAAGCATTAGATAGAAGTGATGCATCTGTTGCATTGCATTCTTTGACAAAATGCAATGCACACGGTGGAACTGGATCTTTGATACTTGTCGTCCTTTGATAGATTGTGGTGCTCAGCTTACTGATTTGTAAGATGCTTGTGTATTCTTGGAGATGCTGAAGTAGCTTTCTTTTGACATGCAGAACAAGCCCCTGATTCCAAAAGTGGTTATGCTTTTTGTCCCTGGCCTTGATGCAGCTTTGTACTTGTCAGAGTCTAAAATACTTAAAAGTTTTAAAGAATGCTGTGGTATCCCAAGGGCAGTTTTAGCTCTTAGGTTGGTAATCGTGTTCCTTACTTTTGTAGTTTAAAAACATTTTGTGTATTATACTGCAGTTATGTTTATTGCGCTTTGTTCTGTGCTAGCTGTGTATCAGATGGGATGCAGACTATAGATGCACTCCTTACCTGCAAGACAAAAAGAAAAAGGGGTGGAGCCGATTCAGTTTTGAGGAGACCTGGCCAGACATCTGAACAAGGTCTGTCACCAATTTCATTTATTTTCACTCTTGTCAACAAAGGTTCCACTTTCATGCCCTCTCAGTTTAATGAGGAAATTAGGTAGCTTATGAGGTTCATTGGTTTCTTATTAGGGTGCTAGTTCTAATGTGTGAGTAGTAAAGCAAGAAGCACTTCCATAATAGTCCTAATGTGTTGTAGTTTTTGCTTGGATGTGGAAAGCAGGTATACGTTGCTTTACACTACTCAATTTGGTATGTTTCCATGTAATTTTATGTCATCATTATCCTCATCATGCAGGAGCTATTAGTTCTGGTTTAGAGAACGCATCATTTACTGACCTTGTGAAAGGGATACCATTCCCTATTACGCACTACACACTTACAATGCAGGAACTAGAAGATAATGGGTATCATAACGTCCAACAAGGTGACAAGAATGTTAGATGTTGATTTCCCTTTTCATTTGGGCATGTGAATTGTACATTTTCTTTGTGTATGTTTATTTCGTTTCTCATTTTGTTGTTTACTCATTGAATAGTTCCTTAGGGTCATATCTACAAATTGCAGGTTTTCTTTCCACTATTCCTGCTCCTTCAGGAACTCCTGCCCATGAAATCTTGGCTCTTGATTGTGAGATGGTAAGACTACAAGTATCATTACTTCTATATTAGAGAAGGTTTCACTAGACAAAAATATAGTGCCCAAAATTTCTCACATTTTTTCTATATTAAAACATATTTGCTACATTAATCTCATATAGGTGTTCTATAGTCGTAGCTATGAACTTTGCAAAGGCAAACATATAGGCAAGGGAGATATTGTATTTATATTGTACGATTAAATATCTTGTATTCCAGTATTTTCGGTGATCAGTAGTAGTTGGAGTTTGTAAGAGTCATAGTGTATTATAGTTATGCCTCTTAATCGATACAAAAAACATTAGAATGTTATATATATTTTAGGGCAAATTACACTAACGGTCCCTGTAGTTTTGGATTTGTGTCACTTTGGTCCTTGACCTTTCAATTGTGATACATTTGACTCTGAATTTTGAATCTCGTTCCAAATAAGGACAATCGAAAACATTGTTGCTCCATTTCAAGGGCAAAGTCGTCAATTTGATATAATATAAACTAGTTTGACAAAAATAAATGTCAACAAATTATTTTTAAATTTATAAAAATTATTTCTACTCACTAAAGATAAAATTATATAAAAGAGATAAATCTTTTACATTTTTATTTTATTTTATTTTTATTTTTATTTTTTTATCAAATTAATTTTTAATATGTGTTTGGATGATGATCATGTAATGCCTAGTTGTTTTTGTTGATATTTTTGGATGGTTAATAGATAGTTGTATTTGTTGTTAACAAATATTTTTGGATGGCTATCATATAATGGATGGTTATTAGGCTTTTAATGCATAATTGATATGTTTAATATATGAAATGTTTTTAGTTTTGGATTTTTTGATTTAATGAATTGGTTTAATAATGACATCAAAGTTGTCGCCATGTTTGACTTTTGAAAAAATAAAAACTAATTTAATAAAAATAAATAGCAAAAAAAATTTATTTTAAAAATTTATTTCTACCCTCCCAAAAGATAAAATTATATAAAAATAATGTGTTTTTAATTTTTTTTCACCAATTTAATTTTTAGTTTCTTAGAAATTTTTTTTGAAAATAAATTTTGAAAACTAGACAAAATAGAACTTTATAATTGAAAAAGTTCCAACATTGTTCATCTAAAAAAAAGGCTATTATATTTCAAACAATATATAAGTTAACCAATGCAAAATAAGTTGTATGATGACTTTGTCCTTTAAATGGAGCAACAATGTCTTCAATTGTCCTTATTTGAAACGAGATTCAAAATTCAAAATTAAATGTATCACAATTGAAAGGTTAAGGACCAAAGTGACACAAATACCAAACTATAAGGACTGTTAGTGTAATTCGTCCTTTATTTTATTGATTATTTGTTTATCGGGTAGTTTCATAGTTTTGAGCAACGTTAGTTAATCCCATTGTAGACATTGGAGCTATGGTCTTTGCCATTTCTCTTGTTTGGGGTTGAGTGGGTGATCCTGTTTGGTGTAGTTTATTGGGGTTTCTTATAGCTTTATTTATTTAATTTTGTTTTAGAAATTTGTGCCAAAGTGTTTGGCGTAGCTTCTGCTTATATCTTATGAGGCATAAATAACTTAAATAAGTTGAAAAAAGTTGATTATCTAGAAGATGGTTGGGTGTTTTTAGCTTATGCTTTCTAATTTTAGCTTGAGAAAAGTTGCAGCAAGTGGGCCTGGTGTTACCTTGGAGGGTGAGCTTCTTCGCTCTTGGAGAGGAGCGCTGGGAAGAGGAGGAATGCTTGCTATTTGGTTCCGTTAGCATTAATGGTGCTGGTGTGGGGTGAAAGGAATATAAGATTGCTTATGAGAAAGAATTAACCGATTTTTAAATTAAATAGTATATTTTTGTCTTTCTTTCATAGTTGGTTTTTGAGGATGGTCTCTATTCTTGAACCAAGTTTTGGATTTTGTAGAGGCCTTTCATAAGCTTTTTGATGTAATGATGAGAGAGTTCTTCTTTTCATTCAGGTGGCACCACCCCCTTGGTTCTCCTTTAGGAAACCTTGTATAGTCAGGTTACACAAGTATTTTTAGGTTGCTTGGTTTTCCTAATTTTGTTAGGAAGATGATTCACAATTTAGGAAACCCATAAACTTTAAACAACCAAAATAATCTAGACCTAATAAAACTCCATTAAGACCCAATAGCAATATTTAACTTCTAATATGATCTATAGCTCATATCCATCAATTCTCAGAATTACCAAAATCCCTTTTGACTCCTAAAAACCTAATAAACATCATTAAACATATCCAACAATCCTGATTTAAAAAAAAAAAGAGAAATTCGAACACAAAAGTAAGATTAAAAACCCTAAAGCTTCATTAAACAGTGCCCTAAAAATTGCTGATTTGGCGCTTCTCTTCTTTCCATGCTGTACATCGTGTTGCCATGTGCTCCTTGTGAGTTATTTGTTGCATCTACCTTTCAATTTAAGTTCTCTTCTATGATAATCAGTGACTTTCAAGTTCAACTGGAACTTTTTGACCTAAATGAGACCCAGAATCGTCAGCATGAGTAACTTTGGCATCATGTCATCCTTATTTCCTTATTGACATTATTAGGCTTTTGGTGGAGCAATATGTCTACTGTGGATTGGATACTTGGTGGTTCTATTTTTGCTCCAATTGGACATACTTTAAAGTTGCTCTTCATTCACAAAGTGGTAGCAGACACATCCATTTGAAGTTCAGAGTCATTTGTGTGTGGTTACTATCTGTTCAATTGTGAAAACTTAGTTTCATGCCTCGGATTTGGATGAATTTTTTTTCATGTATAATTATCCAAGAAAATATAGAGATCAAAATTTCAGAGATATATGATGTACAAAGATGTCAAACTCGAAAAGAAAAGAAGTGTAATTCGCAAATGATTGTATAAAAGCCAATATATATCATCAAAATTGCACGAGATCTGATTCAGGAAAAACCAGAAAATGAAATTCAACAGAGATAATGTAATAACTAATCAGGTCAAAGAGAATTTAAGAACATTTTAATTCCCAAAAGTTCCATATTTACTTTTATATACTTCTTATGGTATTATACTTTTTTTTTTACTAGAAAAACATAAAAATCAAAAACTAGGTTGTTTATTTTGCTCACGGAAGGCCCTTCAATGCTTGCTCACAGATAGCTTCTTTATTCTTATTCCTCAATTCACAATCAATGTCAGGGAAGTCTAACTAACCCAAGGTTGAAGTGTTGAAACCATGTTAGTTTACTTGCTAAGAAATCACTGCCCCAATTTTGAATGGCTCTCCTCTTTTTCAGAACATGGTAATAGAGATTAGTGGTGCAGGATTGAATTGTCTTCTATGTAAATAGTTTGTCAATATACTATCGGACTATGATTTATCTAATTGTGATAAGTCATTCCTCATTTTATCTTGGCCCACGTTTTTGTGTTTATATATTTATTTGCTTTCTTTGTGTTGATAGTGTATCACAAGTGAGGGGTTTGAGCTCACAAGAGTGACCCTGGTTGATATTAAAGGACAGGTATGTCTACCTCATTTTCATTGGTTGTTTTACTTTTTTCCCTTTTTGGATTTAGGGTGGAAGGGGAAGCGGTAAGAGATTCTCCTGTTACACTTTGGTTCTTCCATGGTCCCACCATGTTGCAATGACTTATATAATTCATTAGTTACTTTATTATCACGACCTCCATCATCATCACCACCACAGCCACAAGCATCATCATTATCATTAACACGGTTATTGGTGTATTATCTTTCAAGAGGGGTTTGGCAATTTGAAGCTCGCGTTGTGATTGTGATATGTCTAGATCTGTGAATGTGTGGCAATCTATTTGCTGCATAATCAGTATTTCTAGGCCTCTTTGGTTTCTTACTAGTGTTTTCCTTGTAATTTTTGTTAATCCTACTTTTTTATTTCTCACAGGTAGTGTTAGATAAACTGGTCAAACCATCAAACATTATCATTGACTACAACACTAGGTATATTCATTTGTAACCTTTTTTAGATGGCCAGTAGATGATAATGTCTGTTTTTTTCTTTTGTTTTTCTGGATATCTGTTGTTTTTTAATCTAAACGTCATACAACTTGCTTTGCTTTTTCTATTGTCATAGTGGACCATTTAAGTGTTATATTCCTTTCCAATGTCATACTGTCTCTCGAATTTGAAAAGATGTAGTTTCTCCATTTATTATTTTAGTGTATACAAATGGTAGATGAGAAGTTATCTGATTGTTGTTTGTATGCTATAATATTTGCTCATTTTATTCAGTGAAACTCACAAAGATGTGATGCTGGAAAGTTCCAGGCATGCTTCTGGAGGCACTGATAGATAGTCAATTACATGTAGGACAAATGCTATATGAACCCAAGTAAAAACCAATGACCACATTCTAGTAGGTTTAAAATGAGCTACAATTTACGCATTACAATGTTCGATGGGGAAAAAAAAAAATGCGTACTAAAGTAGATGGAAATGGCAAAAATGATAGATTTAAGTATAGAGTAAAAGATTTATAAACATTAATTGACATTGTGAGAGTGTACAAGAATAGTTTAAGAAAGGAAACCACAATGCTATATGAAGGTTGCACATATAAATGCTAGGAAAGAAAGAAAGACAAGAAAAGGGAAGAAAGAAATGTCCCCTAGGGCACATGCTAGCGGCTTAGGTCACTCTTTCAATAAAGGGACTCAAGTTTGAGTTTAATTCATGCCTATCAAAAAAAGAAAAAAGGAAAAAGAAAAGAAAAAAGCAACACGGTTCAATGACTTAAATAAAGAAACACAGTTAATATAATAGAAACCTGCAGAGAACATACACGTGGTTAGAATATAGTTTAGTGGAAAAAAGTGATTGAAAAACATTGTCTGTCACTTCAAAATTTGTGGGGAAAAATTTGAAAGCAAATCAACCGGGGAATAATCCAATATGCTAAGAAGAAAAAATATATTACATTTAGATCATGAAACCAAAAAGAAAATGGGATGAACAGAAAACAATACATGTAGGATAATGATATTATCGTCATTTTATGGAATTTATTGATTCATAAACCTGCTTATGAACTTTTGTATTGCAAGCTTTGTACTTTTTGCCTGGCTATATTTCTTTTTATTTGTAAAATTATGATGTCTCAATATGTATTACTGTGCTGTGAACCAGCTTATTCAAATGCTTTGTATGGTGGAACTTAGTGATTCAATTTTCATTGCCATTAAGCATACTGTTGGGTTATGCAGGTACAGTGGAATCACATGTGAAATGTTGAGTGGGGTGACAACGAGTCTTAAAGATATTCAGGTTTGTCGATGGGTCCTTCTCCCTTTTCTTTATGCTAAATTGAGTTACCATGTGTGCCTGCGAATTAAGTACAGAGACATGATGTAGATGTGCTGGTAAGATGAATCTAAAAAAGAAGGATATAAATACAGTGGGAAATATGTGTCTGTTCATATATTCATTTGCACCATATAAACGACTGTTATGAATTTATTAAATTTTCTAGTTTTCTGTTGATGAACTCCATGTGAGAAAGTAGGATTTGTGTTGATTTGATGCATTGTCCGAACTAGGTGCTACATGGTTACTCTCATCATGTCTCAATTCTTACAAAATAGTTCAAGTATACAGAAGTCTTATTATGTGTTTCTCTTATTATTATGGTTAAGTTCCGCAGCAGAAAGGCCTCGTCACAATTTCTTAGTCTTGTTGCTTTCATGTCCAAACATATCTAAAAGGTATTGGTCACATGTTAAAAATTAAAGAAAAATGTGTAGTTACGGATATTTGTAGGAAGTACTAGAAATGTATCCACACTTATCTGAGCATATTGGTATCTAGTAAGGGTACTATGCTATAGAAGTATTTGTGCTATCTAGATGTCTGCCGATCAATTTTTTGTTTTAAATGCTGTTTCTTAATTTATTTTGTTTGCTTCCCATTTTCAGGAAGAATTTCTGCAGTTGGTCTACAAAGAGACCATTCTAGTTGGACATTCCTTGGAGAATGATTTGTTGGCATTAAAGATATCTCATGATCTCGTGATTGACACGGCAGTGTTATACAGGCACCGTCGCGGCGGAACCTACAAAATTGCGCTTCGTGTGCTCACCAGAAGATTCCTTTCTAGGGAGATACAGGAGTCAGGAAATGGGCATGATAGTATTGAAGATGCAAAAGCTGCCATGGATCTGGCACTGCTAAAGATTAGAAATGGTAAGTGGTCCATCTTTTTGTGCATTTATATTGGCATTTGAATTGAAACATTGATTGATATGAGGTCTTAACTTGAGATTTCATTATATGTCAACCAGGGCCATTTAACCTTAAGGCTCAGTTTGCTTAGATAGAAAATTCAGGAAAGTGAAAGAAAAAGATTTTTTTTTTTAAATTTTTACGTGTTTGTTTAGATAGAGAATCCTAGAAAGTAATGGAAACCAAAGTTTCTTGTACAACTCAAATTAGCTTGTTAGTTAGGCTAATAGTTTCTTGAAAAATATAGAGGGAAATTTATTTTTTCCCACAAATCTTGACAAGGTTTGTTTTGTTTTCCTTTTTGCCCATGTTTCTCTCCACAACTCTCTGTTATGTAGTGAATATATTTTTTTCCCCGTCATTTTCTTATAAAAATTTTCATCTATTCAAATGCATGCAAGAAAATAGATTTTCATTTCTTTTTCCTTTCTTTCACTTTACTTTCTGCCATTTCCATTTTCTATTATCTATTTCTTTCTGAACAGAGGAGCCTAATGGAAAAATTATACCAACATGTGCAAGCACAGCTTAATATCAGCTCTTAATTTGTATGTGCATTATAAATCAAGCATGATTTTATATGAGTTGATCAATGCAGTTTTTGTTTTGTTTTGTTTTGTTTTTGTTTTTGTTTTTTTTTTTTAAATTTAAAATTTTTGTACTAGATCATTTGTGCATGCATCTTAAGAAAAGGTGTTTAAATTGATCAATCATCACAATTGTCATCTAGTTGCTGCCTGACTATTTTCAATTATTGACAAATTAATTGTCCCTGATATGTACAGATGCTGTGATTATATATGGGCATGTAATGTCATCACTTTTATCATAACCATAAACAGCTTATATAAGACCATCTTACAAAAATAGTTCCTCTATTTCATGCTTTGCATATGTCTCTGCTTTAAATGTTATTCAATGAGTTCCATGCTTGACTTTTACTCAAATTTCTTTTCTTTGTACATAAAGGTAATTGATCTGGACATGTGAAGTAGATAGAGTATGTAGGATGAAAGTTTTTCTCCCAAAGGAAATAGGGGACTAACAATTAGACAAAGTAGAGTAGAACAAGCAGTTGAAGGGCAAAAAATCTCAAAATTGAGGCCACATCTCCGCACAAGAAGTCTATGTAGGTCAGCTATTACTGTTTTTTTTTTTTTTTGTATCTTCGTGTCTGTGTAAGGGAAAAGGTTATCCAGAGTTTACAAGCATGCAGAAGCAGAGTGCTCTCCAAAGGTTGGAATTTCCAATTGTTCATTCATTCCTTTGATGAAAGTTGAATCTTCTTGTCACTTGTCAAATAAATAAAAGACTGTTGAAGCTTCTTCTATTGATTATCCATGATGAAACCACTTCCTTTTGTCTTGTAAACTATGGATCAATTTTTTGATTCCCTGATGGTTTCATTTGTTTATTGTTGACTCCTCACCTCAGCAAAACTCCATCTGTGAAATTGTATATTGTTTCTGGTATTTGGGCATTCTAAGTCATAAAACATGGATTCTGTGACATTAGTCCTAAATAATTCTAACTTCTTTTTCTTTAGGTACATACATAAGTGGTCCATTATCTAGGAATTTTCCTTTGTAAACTCTCCTCGTCCTTATGTTACTCATGCATCATTCTGTCGCTATCACATCCTCTCTGAGCTAACTTACTTTTTATGTGATAAATGGATTGTGAAGCACTACTCCAAGGTTTTTGGAATTACAGATCTTTTATGTTATTCAAGCAACAGTAGTCCTGTTTGTATTGTTCCTGCAGTTACAGTTTTTCTAGACAGTTATTCATGTTATAAAATTATAAAGCAATAACTTGAATTCTTGGTGCGTAAGGCATGAAGTGGCTGGTCAGTAGTGAGGGGAAGAAAACTGGATTTGTAATGGAGTGTAGGAAAGTAGCATGTGTTGCTTATATTCCAGACAAGGATTTAGGAGTTTGACACCTTTTTATTTTCCTTTATAATAGCTCTATATCAGTCCTAAAATAATAAAAAATAAAATAACCTCCTTTCATTTTCTTTTTTATGCTTTTTCTCTTGTTTTCTATAATAGATTTCTCAAAATTTATATGCCTTTGGTTTTGATATTTTGGAATTAGGACCCCATTTTGGTTTTCCTTCATCATTCATGCGGAAGAAGCTCCTTACAGTTTTAAGCGAGTGTGGTAAAACCTCGACTTTGATTGATAATATTTCCATAGTGAAGCGATATGCTTCGGAGTCATCGCATACCATTCCAGTATCTTCCGATGATGAAGTCCTTTTGAAGGCCAGAAAAGAGGTAATGTTTATGCTCAGAGTTTGTTGTTCAAGATTTCTTAAAGCAAGGCTGAAGATGGACTGGTTGTACTCATAGTTTTACCCTTGTAATTGTTTGATGTCATTTTAGGTTAGAAATGAGAAGGTACAGTTTGTCTGGGCCCACTTCTCAGAATTAAATTCCTATTTCAAGAAACAAGCAGAGGACATGGAGATTTTAAATACAAGGCTTGCGGAGATGATATCCTTGCTTACATGTAACAAGTCTACTGGCAGAAAAGGCATCAAATACAGTGTAACCTCTGAACTAAAGGACATTTTAACTCGCTTGGATGCTAGAATCAGAAGTGTCCACTCCAATTTACCTACCAATGCCATGCTTATTATTTTCACTGGTCATGGGGACACTGCAGTTGTTCATAGGTATGCATACATTGTGCTTGTATTAATTTTACTATGCCATGCTTTCTAAAGACTTTCCAGTTTTTTCAGCTGTTCGTTTAGAAAAAAAATAAAGTAGTGATTTAAGAAACTTATCCTTACCATATATGTTTGTGCTTATTCGAAGCCTCATGTTACTTGCATATTTTATCCTTTTATCTCCATTGTTGGGAGCAGAAACAATCATGCCATTCGTCTTATTTTCATTATTTTCTCAAAATTAAATATGTAATACTGTAAGTCATTTTCTAAATGTTTTTTCCCCCATTTTTATTCGTCCCCTTGCATTATGATTCCAATTATCTCATATACAAAGTTCGATTCAACTTTACTGTTTAACTTCTTCATTACATGCTAATATGCTAACATGTTAGGGTTTCAACTTTATTGTTTATTCAAGTTCTATAGCTTGTCCTCTGGCATCTCTACTTCTAATTATGAATTATGAAATTCTAGTTATATGATAAATGTTACGATCAAGGAAAATCTCATATCAAAATTATTTTGCTGTTTCTTATTTGTTCCTCCTTCTGTGTCTTTCAAGTTTTGAATTTTTAATTGACCGTTAAAATCTCTCTCTCTCTCTCTCTCTCTGCTTGTGCATGGATGAAGATTGAGAAAAATGCTTACAGAGCAGAATGAAACTGCAATGTGCCGTGAGAAACTTGTAAAGGTCTTGGAAGAGCTGCAGGCCCAAGCTGAAGTAGGTTTGTGCTTTGTGGGTGTAAAGCATTGAGTTATCGTTATGCAAATGCCTTGGTCTTGTTTCTTGTTTCACAAAGCTTGTGGTGAAGAAATGCAGTATAAACTATTTTATTTATTAGACATGTAATGTGATACATACATACCCTGCCTTCACAATTTTAATTAAACAGTCAATGAAAGTGAAGCTGGGCAAGTTCTGTATTTTAAGGCACATTGATATCAATTGCGTATGTTTCATTAATCTCTTTGCTCTTCTTTCTCCTTCCTCATCTTTGTACTGTTTTTTGGTCATTTATGGAAAACAGTTTGAGATCTCTTGGTCTGTGTTAAGAGTACAACATTTCAAGTAGAGTTGAAAGCAATTTTGCAATATAAGGCCCCCTTGTTTTTGTTTGATTAGGAGATAAGGTGCTCCTTCCTCCGGAATTTAGCATTTTAACACTGTAGCGTGTTAAAATATGACATTGGCACAATTAAAATGACACGATCTATTGTGGACCATGTGGTCAAAACCAATTTTAAGTCAATAAAAACCCCTTGATTATATAACATCATCGTGAATCCTGATACAACACAAAAAGTACAGCCACAACAAGAAGAAATACATAAACTAAGCAAGAATTGAGAGAATCACTTGTGATCTGACGATGTCAATTAACTCCATGCCGAAGCAACGATCAAGATTTTGTCTTCCCATCCAAAATGGAGCGCGCCCGTTTCCTCCTTCACCTTGTACCTGTCACAATACTGCTTTATGAGTCCTCTAATGGTTTCATTCACATTTGGACTAATTGGAGTTGAAACAAAACCAGCCATCATCATTCGCGCTTTCCATTTCCCAGCAACTTCATACCGCTCTATTCTCTCCTCTCCCTCACAAGCCACGATATTAACTATCTCACGTGCCAAACACTGCTTTTCTACATTCAACCTCTCCTGGCTATCCCTGGGAAGTGTCGCATCAAGAGATTGAAACACTGCTGAATAGTAATTGTGGGCTTCGACAAACCGTGGCAAAAATGGGGCAGTGTTAGCGTTCATATCTTGTTCAACAACGGTAACGAGTTTCGGATTCAAGCTCTTAACCATCCGTAGAAGCCGGTCTCGCTGGTTTATTGTTGAGACGCTCTCATCGGGCATGTGGTGAAGCTGGAAAGCGAAGTTTACGATCAGCGCTTCACCAGCCTGGCAGTTCAGCATCACCGGACTGACTACTGCGGTCTTTGCTGCCACTGCTTCGAACTCAAATGGCACGTCAAGCGATTCAGCCAATTGCTTGAGCCTTTGGCCGATGACTTTTAGGCCCCCATTGGCTCGTTGAACTGATTGAGGGTCATCAACCCCGGTTAACCTCAAGTGGGGCAGCTTACCACGCTGATTAGCGATAGTTTGTATCAGAGTTATGTATTGACTCCCTTGGCCGATGTCAAAATCAATTATCTGAACCCTTTTTTCATTTTTAAAAGATTCTATAATCGCACCATTTGCAGCCATAAATCCGAACCTAAAATATGGACATACCTCGAAGAGGACCTGCATAGCCGATAATTGATCATTAGAGGGAGGCTCTTTGCATTTCAGAGCTTTGTAAAGACCCGTGCCAGAGGTTGCCACACGAGCCGCAAGAGCTTCCACCATGTAAGCTGCGATCCTCTGCGAAGGCTCTCCTTGGATCGAGAACCTCTGCCGGAGATCATTGATTGTCGTTGACGCTTCCTCGATGTTTCCCTCTGAAATCATCACTGCACAATCATAAAGCAACTGCTTGGGCGTCTGAGGAGACGAGGTAAGTGATACCTCTTTGTTGCTGCTGATGCTGCTGAGAATAGAATCCAAGGACGAAGACTCCTTGGGGGAATCATGTAGCAGTAGTGCATCACCGATTGGATTAGACCATTCACAATCAATCTCCATGCTTTGATTGGGGCCAAAAGCATCATCATCTTCATCATCATTATCATCAAGTAGTGCTCTCTCCAGTTCTTGAAGCTTTAGCCTCATCTTATCCTCGTTATAGTCAATGTCATCAGGACTATGACTTTCGAAGTATTCTGACTCGAAATTGGGCTGATATCGATCCTCATGTCTTGTAGTGTCAAAATAGTTAAATGGGTTTTGCATGGTCATGGAGTGTAATTGATTGACCGAGTGGCTAGAGATGGATGGATGTATAAATTCTTCCATTGGGGAGTCAAGGAAGAAGTTTGGATCACAACACTCACTGTCGTAAGATTCTGTTGCATACATGATCTTATGCTTATCGGAGTTGAATATTGGACTTGGAATGCCAGAGGTGTCACTGCTTCCATTTAGAGCGTAGAGTTTCAGATTGCCATATGACCGGGAATATTGATCTTGGGTCCGAACTAAAGACATTGCTCACTTCTAACTCACTCAGTTCTCAAGGAAGGGTTAAAGTAACCATATAATATCAGGCTCGTGCCACGAAATGTCCCATTAACTGCATAAACTACCCAAATAAATGTCCTTTGTTTACAGTTGAAGAAACAGTAGATGAGTATCCAGTTAGGCTACTTGCAGTCGAAATTACTTAGAAGCCACTGGGATTCCTGCATTAAGCCAAAATGAAAAATGCAGAGGAAAAAAAGAAGATAAGCACACCATAATGATAGAAATTCAAACATTTTTGAAACAGTTAAAGAAAACACAGATACATAGATAAACATAATGAGGGGCACACTCAGAAATAGACACACATGAGACCTGGAAAAAGAGAGATTTGTTCTTCCTGTATTTCATGTTACTTCAAGGACAACGTTTTGAGGAGAAAAGAAGAAGAAAGGAGGTCATTTACAATAAATAACAATTTTCCTTCATGATCAAATGACATTACTAGTGCTTTGTTATCGGTCCAAGCAAAAAAAAAAAGAATTTTTTTTTAAAATTATGAAAATCTGGACTGGAAAAAAGTTTATCCAACTTGATGAAGTCTAGTAGGAAAAATGTAACAGATACACAACATATTGCAAAAATATGTGCAAACTAGTAATATTGACAACAAGAATGATTATGACAAACAAAAAGTGAAACTTATAGTATCAAGTAAGCCTAAGATGTAGGCTGTTTTAAGGTCTTCAATTAGCTAATCATGGATAAAAAAAAATGATTTAGCTAACCAGAGCGGTAAAAAAGAAAGAGGCTATAACAAAGATTCTTGCACAAATTGTTGAACACAAAGGGGGTTTATTTCACTTTAACCATGTATTAATAGCAATCAAAAGATTTAACATGTTGAAGCAGAGTAGAACTAGAACTAGAAGGCAGGCAACTACCAAGTAAGATGCTCCTAAACCACAATCTACAAAACTCATCCCAAAACAAAAAAAATTGATTGTAAAAAAACTGATAAATCAATGCCTTCAAATCTTATGTTCTAGTCAACCAAATTACAAAACAATCAATTTTGCTAAAACTAGATAAAAAGGGTACAAGGGGGTGGCAAACGTGTAGCAAACCTCCATGGGCGTGACCATACGAGCCCTTGCCCATCAGGGAGGCTCACACGAGGGGACTAGACGGGCTATAGTCGATCCAAGGACATCAAAATTAGCAAATTGAGAAGGAAAACATAGGCAGCTAGCTATTCACAATCCAAATTATATATAAAGGTTTCAACACATGCAAACATCAAGCTAAAAGAAGATGTCCATGGCCAACCATAATAAGATCTACACATATAGCTAGTTTGGGCACATATAGGTATATGAGAAAAAAAAGAAAAAAAAATTCGAAAAGCACACAAAAGAAGAGACAAAAAAGAAGCAGCTGAGCCATATATATAAAGCATAAGAATACACCAAGGTGAGGCAATAGAGAGATCATATCATTCATTAATCATAACCTGCAATTCCACAGATACCCAGATGGAGATGAACTTCACAATTAGCTTTGAGTTTGAAGGTTGGAGAAACCTAAGGTTTGACCATGAATCGTTCATAGTAAACAAAGACAAACCCTCAAAGCAAATTCACCTACTTTTTTTTTCTTTTTTTTTTTTTTATATCTTTTAACCTTTACATTATTAAAAAAATAAAATAAAAATTGCAGTTTGTGAGGTTAGGTTGGCCGAAAACCAACAAACAACATAACAAAACAAAACAAATTAAACAAGTCCACAGAAGAACAAACTTTAGAAACAGAAAGAATAGAAAAAATGCATTAAAAATTAAAAATCAAATGACCCATTTGACATAGACACATAATAAAGAAATATATATATTTCCTTTCCACTTACCCAATTCAAGAATATAAGCAAATCAGAATTCCAAGACTCTCTTGGAAAAGACCACCGCTGAGAATCTACCTTCTGGGAAAATGGAAGAGAAAGTTACTCAAAATTTTCTTAGCCTAGAAAATTTGAGATCTTCTTCGTTCTTTTTTTAATCTTTTTACTTTGTCTTCATTGTCTCGGTGTGAGTTGGTTTGCATGTCCGCACCAACTTCTCTGACTTGTAATGGTGTTGTTGACAGTACAATGGGCATTCCCACTCTCACCAAACAACCATGAGTGTTCAAATTGTGATTGAAGGTCCCTAGATTAGTTGGGTTGAGGACACGTGTACGGTGATATGGAGGATTGTGGTACCAAATTGCTGTCGTGGGGTGTGACGTTGGATTAACATAATCACTGTCATCTTCGAAGCATCGAATCATGATGCTTTTTGACAATGTCAAAAAGGGTGCTTGATCAATTTGACAAGTAAGCCCTTGGAAATTTCTTGGAAAAACCGAGGGAATTGCGAGGAACGGAAGGGCAATCAAGTCAATTGGGTAAGTTAGTTGCCTAGTTGGTTAAGAACCATATGTTAAATTTTTGGGAAATATCATATAAATAACAAAATAAAGAAACTAATTTTAAGGCCAACAAATAATTAAAATCGTTAAAAAGTCAAAAAAAAAATAATATAGATAGTTTTTTTTTTTGGGTTAGAATATAGATTAGTCAATTTATTCTCTTTACTTTTTGGCTCAAAATCGTGGAACCTGTCCGGCTAAACACTAGTTGGTTTGATTGCATTTGAAATTTATAATTCGCGTCATAATTAATAACATATATATATATATATATATATTATATTTACTTCTAATGAAATATTAATATAAAAATTAATGTGAAAAGAAATCTAAAAATGTAAAATTTGATGCAAATTAGTATTATATATATGAAAAATATAATGTAAAATCAGTTAGTGTTATATATTATAAAAAAGTAATATTATATATTATGAAAATATTTGATAATTATTTACGATTATTATTTTTAATTAATTAATAGGTTGAAACTACTTATAATTTTTGGTTTTTGTTTTATTTTCAATTTACATCGAACTACAACGCGCACACTCCTAGGTTTTGGTGCAACTTATTAAAACTGTATATAGTTTTTTTATTAATATTTTGAGAGTTTGGATCAGATTGTTTAGTGTAATTTCTGCATATAGTTTATTAGATAAAAATAATTTAAGTAAGTTGAAAAAAATTCGTTATCTAAAAATTACAAAAAAATATACTTTTAATTTCTAGTTTTTAGATTATCAACTTAGGAACATGCTTCTCTCCAATCCAGAAAGTGGATTGGACGGTGTTGTTGGGACTGTGAGACCCACGATGGGTCCCATTTTGGTGATTTGGATTGTTCAATGTGTAGAACTCATTGAGTACTCTATCCTTGTAAAAAAAATCATATTGATCAGATATCAATAACCCTTTGCAAAAAAGTGACATCAATATAAAATAATTACAATGTTATGCATTAAATTGTGTTGGGAAGTGATTTATAAATTAACTTTTTGGTTTATTACCAAAAAAAATATATAAAGAGTAAAGAAATGATGTGACTTTAATAAATTAATAAGTCAATAAATTAAGTGTTCATTTGGCAATAACTTTTTTAGTTGGTTTTTTAACTTTTTTAGCCTAAGACTTTTTTAATTGTTTGGTACTCTTATTTGGCTTTTTTGGTTTTTTTAGCTTTTTTGGCAATTTTTTTTTGTCCTTTTACAATTTTTGACTTTTTTCTATCCTTTTGTGATTTTTTAACCCAATTCAAAAACCAAACAACCCCTAACTTATAAACTTATTCCCAAGCAGAGCGTTATACTTCCATCTCGTTATACTTCCATCTCCTTATAATTAATTGAGTAAATTACAAATACACTCCTTAAAGTTTACTTAAAATACGAATTGTTCATTGTGATTTAGAAAATTACAAATACTTCACTGTCAGAATTTTTTATTTAACAGAATTAATTAACAAAGCGAAATTTTTAACTGTTCACCTATACAATAATAAAATTATTTGAATTATTAATTGAAATAAAATTTTAACATTATTAAAAACTGTTAATTAACTTGATAATTTATTAATAAAAGAACCTATTTATTATGAAATTAAAAACTTTAGAGGGCAAAATGTACTATCTAAAACTACAAAAAAATAATTTATAATTTAAATAAATTTCAAAAAATGTGTTTATAATTTATCCTAAAAATTAACTTTCTCGAGAAAAGTTACTTTTACACTAGGGGGAAAAATCAAATGTGAAGAGAATCCGCATGGCATATATCAAATGACTAGGAGTAGTGTGGAATTAAGAAGTTAGAGACAGGTGAAAACAATGTTTACCACACAAAATACGAAACATGATTTCAAATTATTCAGTATTAGTCTTAATCATCCATACTCATAAGTTACCTCATCTAAAAATACTGATAATAATTTTGGGCACCTTTAGACCTGTCCTTCCAAAATAGTGTAAGAACAAGTGAATTTTTCTTTTTTCTTTTTATTTTTTATTTTTTATTTGGGATAGAATGGAGCATGGTTGATGTTATGTGAACAAGAGCAATCGGTGTTATTATTATTTCCTATTCGTATAATTTACAATTTGGAATATCAATTATTGTAGTTGCTTTTATAACAAAACAAATCTCGATTATCTAAGACTCCAAGCTCATTCTTAAATCATATAAGAGAACTTATGAATTGGTAAGTAAAAAAATTGATAAGTATAAAAAGATAAAAAAAATTCTTTCTTTCCGATGTACCCAAAAAGATAAGTATAAAAAATTGATCAAAATAACCGTCTTATGATACTATGGGGTTTTAGGCTAATATTAAAATGTTGCTGAACTTTTTACTGCACAATGTTTATATGGCTCGCTGACTTTTGATCAATTTTAGGTTTTAGGTTAATGGAATGTACCGCGCCATATGTCATTGCTTCTTCCATTTTCTTCAATTAGTCTGGGCAAAAAGGGGAAGGGTTTGGCTTCCCTCACTACAAGAAAATTGGGTATATGAGATGGAATTATTTGCGACGGCACACTTGCCGTCTCAAAAAGTCACTTTTTGCGACGGCAGAAAATGCCGTCTCAAAAAAGCAGAGTATTTGCGACGGCATCATTTGCCGTATCAAAAAAACAGAGCATTTGCGACGACACTAAATACCGTCGCAAATACTCTCATTTTTTGAGACGGCAAATAGTGCCGTCGCAAATGCTCTGCTTTTTTGAGACGGTAAATGGTGCCGTCGCAAATACTCTGCTTTTTTGAGACGGCATTTTCTGCCGTCGCAAAAAGTGACTTT